CAGAAAGATCCCGGGTGTCCTCACCGGGGCATGAACCAGCGACCTTCTAGCTGCGAGGCGACGGTGCTAACCACTGAGCCACCTGAGGAACTATTAATAGATAAGATAAAGAAGATAAGATAAGAAGATAAAATACTGAAATTTTCTCTGTTATTTCTCATCAAGTCAGTGATTCTGAATCTGTAATATTAAACAAGTAGATCAAATAATCTTTGATTGTGGCTGAGTTGAAATTTAAGAAAAAAAATGAAGCTTCCATGAAAAGTTTCATCTTTATGCTCAGATTAACAAAAAAATTGAGAATTCAGACATCAGCTGGTGATATTTTATATATATTTTCTGTGTTACGTTTGGATATTTTTGACAATATTTTCATTTTTATTTTTATGGTACAACTTAATTTTTTATTATTAAGTATTACATATTATAAATATTCTACCCGTTTCGTTTAGTGTTCCTGTGACCTGCAGCTACATGTGGGTCAGAAAACATCACCAGCTGGCTTCTGCTTTATCAGTTTTTTATGTCACTTTTTGCTCAAAGATGGGACCTTCCACAACGGCTTTAATTTTTTCCCGTATTTCATCTACTTGTCCAGTATTACAGATTCTGAATCAACGACGTGATGAGAAACAACAAAGAAAATTTCGTTTTTTTAGCTTTAATAGTCGCTGAGTTATTGTCATTCAAACATAACCTCAAATTTAGATGCACCAAATAAACAACAGGCTGAAAGTGAGTCAACATCTCAGTAAGTATTTGATTTATCAGGCTAGAAGTTCACAGACGCCATTTTTAATATCCAAAGTTAATGCCAGAAAAGCTTCAAGCAAACCAGAGACGGTCGAGCAGAAGGATCCTGATGATTCCAGATGGAACAAAACCACAGCTCCTCCTGCAGAGAGTCTGATTCTGGAAACAAACCGGATTTTCCTGCAGATTTCTCAAACCACACAGGAGGCACATTAGAAGAGTTTTATAACTCATTAAACTTTAAGAGCTTTATCAGCGTTTACTGCTCCTTTATTATCTAAATGTGCCACCACAGTTTGAACATGACATTTTGGGGAAAATTCTCAGAACGTGGCTCCTTCTCTAATCAGAAAACAAACCTCAGGCTCCTTAGTCAACACTTTGCATCTCATTTGTTTCATTATTCCAGTTAGTGGTTGGTGTACTTTGTTGTTGCTGGATTTTCTTTTTCACCACATACACAGAATTTAACACACATTGAATCAGCGTCACAAAAGTCCACGTTTGAAAGCAGTAAATTCCACTCTGCTCCCATCCGGACGCCTCGGGGAACATTATTGCACTGATAACACTGGAAATTAACACAAGCAACACAAGAAGCTTCGTTCAAATCGTCAGTATTCTTTTAAAAGTCAGTTCGTTATCCCGCATGATGAACATCTCGCGACCGTTTGTGCAAATTTCAACCCTGCAAACTGATTCCTAACTCTAGATACCTGAACGCTGAAATAAGAAAAAAAAACAAACGAACGTACGCTCCACCTACCCTCGTCAAAGACCGAGCGGACAACCTGCACACTGTCCAGCGCCTCAAATGACAAAGTAGTACATGAAGAAGTAGAAGAGGAGGGAGGTGAGGATCCACTTGAGGGAGTGGACGTAGACGACCAGGCCGATGCCGAAGAGCCAGCCGCGCATGTCGGTGAAGTCCAGGTCATGCAGGGCGAAGCCTCCGTGAGCGAAGTGCCACCGTCTGCCCGCCGTCGGCGCCTGTCGCTGATACCCTGAAGTTACAAACACACAAAGACAGAAGCTGTGACTGAACCGTTTGGTTTGGGTTGGAGGCCTTCTGCTGGATTGATTACCGTAAATTCCGGACTATAAGCTGCTACTTTCTTCACACGCTTTGAACTCTGCGGCTTAAACAATGATGCAGCTAATTTATGGATTTTTACAAATTAGCCTCGAGACCAAAGTGACATCGAGAGTGACAACGACAGAGAGACTGAGGAAGTGATTCTGAGGCTGTTCGACTCCGACACTGAAGAAGACGACTTTAGTGGTTTTAGGAGGAAGATGAAGATTGTGATCAACGACTTTTCCTGGTAGGCTGCTGTAGTTGTTATTTTCTTAACCAGCCGTGTTACAGGAACTGTTCAGAAAGAAAGCATTTACGTATTTGTGTACGTTACCGGTACGTATTTAATTAAAAGTTTGAAAATCTTTCTGTGTAAATCTCTCATGTTACAACGTGGACACCTGCAGCTTTCAGACAAGTGCGGCCTGTACATGTACACAATTAGTTTTCTTTTTAAAGTTAGTGGGTGCGGCTTACATTGAGGTGAGCTCGTCATAAACTCCGGATATTTAAAATAGCATCTGTGGAATTTTAGCTGTGATATATTCGATATCTTCTGAGATAACTTCTATTTGAAAAACTGCTCTTCTTGTGGTTTTGGGTTGTCACTGTACAACTATTCTGCATAGAATTTGCGCTCACTACTACTTTTTACTTTATGCTGCTATGTAACGCACAAAGGAAATCTCTTCATTGTAAATTCTTCTGTTTGAAAATTCAATAAAAAGATTATTGATTTTTTTAAAAAACTGCTCTTCTGCCCACTTTGAGCGTGTTTTTTCACTAATTGTTTGAACATCATCATCTCAGGAACTATTGAAGATAAAAGCCTGAAATGTTTTATTTCTATTCATATTTCAATTCACCCTCATTCACAGATTAATTAATCTACCTGTCAGATTATCACAGATTCTGAATCATGACATAATGAGAAACAACAGTGACATTCTCAGGCTTTCATCTTGGATAGTTTCTGACATATTGCCGTTCAAACGCAGACACAAATTTTAACGTGTGAAACAACCTATTTGATATACCAACATAAAAAAATGTCATAACATCTAAAAGTTTTAGTCAACTCAGAGACGTTTGAGCTGAAACTGTTCTGAAAACTTTAGGATTAAATCACCTTTTCTGTTTCTGCACTGGTTCAAATTTGGAACGACTACATTTAAAATGTGTGAAACAAACAGTTCTGTCCTCACAAGTTTATAACGGAGAGCAGAAATGATAAAACTCCTCCAAACACATTTAAATGTGAGCGGATCAGAGCTGCTATAATGTGATTAAACTCTGAATATTATGGAGGGATAACGTGAGCATAAAAACATTTCATCTGTTTGTGACTGTTCACATTAAATCAATTAAAATTCATACTTTTGCCAATTCAACACACTCTGCAGTGCAAGAAGATTTTCACTAAAACACGTGCATCACTGAAAAGTTTGCGTTTAAATAAACAAGTTCCTCTTTATGTTTATCTCTCCGCAGACTTAGAATAATCGTGTGCACTAATGTTTATCTTGGTGCTTGTAAAGCTGAAGATAACGTTTAGTGCTGCTACTAAAGCGTGGAGACAAACCGATAAGGCTTCAGGGTTACTCAGAGAAACAGGTCGTGGTGCGACGCCAGTGAAAAGGAGGTCAGTCGAACAGTTCAGTCTCAAATCATCACGTTGTTTTGGAACAACTTCTGCTCCACTGTCTCTGATTTGCCTGATACCAGATACATCAAATACTTTCCAAGATATGCTTTGATTAATTTACCCGTCGACCCACTTCCAGCAGGTTTTTTCACCAAACTTCAAGCTGTTTGAACGACAATATCTCAGAGAACATTAATGATAAAAGCCTGAATCTTTCGCTGTTATTTCTCATCATGTCACTGATTCAGAATCTGCAGTGCTTCAGATTATTTAATCAACTTGTCCGATAATGAAGATTCTAAATCAGTGACATGATGAGAAACAACAGGGAACATTTCAGGCTTTAATCTTTAATAGTTCCTCAGATTTTGTTGTTCAAACAGCCTCAAACTTCAACGTGCTAAAAGTGGGTCGATGGCAAATTTTCAAACAGAATTCTCTCAGAAAGTATTTGATTTGTCAATCTTTAATTTCACAGATCTCATTTTAAACATCCATCATTTAAATAATAATAATATAAAAAAAAGTTTCAAGCAAACCAGAGCAGATTAAACCGCTGATGGTTTATTTGCGGCACCTCTTCTGCTCGTTACTCTGGATAATCTGAAGACTTTGCTGTTTAACTCTAACACTGATTAAACTTTCTACGACACCAGAAACAAACAGCTGCTGAGTTTCTCACCCCAGAACGAGTGGAAGCGTTTGCGAAAGCTGGGCAGCGGCCACTTCGCACACGAGGCATTCTGGAAGTTCTGCTTGCGGGCGAAGTAGACTTTGGGGAAGAAGGTCTTGGCTGTGTGGTTGAGCTCTGGAGAGAGAACGGAAAGAGTGAAGAACAAACCGTGAACCCTCACATCTGACTGGCTTTACTGTTATGTGTTTATAAAATGTGTTTTAGAAGCCTTCAGGTGAAAATCTTCTTCTTTTTAACCCTGTTATTATGTCCACATGATGTTTTTTTGATATAATGAAGGACTCATAATGAACAAAACAAGCAGCAAACATGATGGCTGAGGATGTTCATGTTCAGGAACGGATTCAGACTTTCAGGGTTTCGTGTGACAAACTTAAGGAACCAATTCTGCCAACTTATTATGATCATTATTATTCAGATAAAATAGTTTTACAGTGTCTAAGCAGACTCATTGGTGAGCTGGTGTGCTGGAGCTGCAGTGAGCAATGCTTTAGACTTACACTTAAGACTTTAAAAAAAAAAGAAAGGTATTATTTGAATTGAGTCTCTTTCCGTGCATCTCTTATTTACAACATCAAAGATCTTGCTGCTTTTTCCAATATTTTCTTTCTTCAGAATCACAGGAAAGCTTCCTCTTTAATTATTTTCACATCACTTAATTAAAAAAAGGAATTAAAAGAAACATAGATGAAGAGAACCGGTTGATTCTAATTACAGGTGACATTTATGGGTTTAGATTTATGTTTTTAAATTGTCTTTTTGCACATTTAAGGAAAACTATTCCATCATGTGAACCTCATGGACGACATCACTTCATTTAAGCCATTTTTTTAAAGGCATGAAAGGATTATTTTTATGGAGAAAACTTCTAAAAATGCAGCTTTGATGCACAGAGACGAGTTGTTAGAAGCTAAATCACTGATCTGAGAGCAACTTTACCTTTTCTGTCCGTGTATAAATGGATGCATCTCTTCCTCACACACATTTATTTACTATTTAATTATCTTGGACTTTTTTAATAATGTGCAATAATCCAAATGGTGGTATTATTATTATTATTATTACACCGTATATACACGTACAGCAGCAGAATGTATATTTATTTTTTGTGTTATATATTTTTTTATTTTCATATTAATACTTTATATTTTATTATATATTTTTACTTTCCTACATCTTTTAATACATTTGATTGGGAGCATCTGTAACTGAAAGTAATTTCCCCTTGGGGATTAATAAAGTGTTTCTGATTCTGATTTCCTCCAACGTGCTGCATTCGGTGCCGTGTGATGTTGAACTGATTTGACTGAAGTGTTTAAACAGCACTACTTCATTTTGTTTTGTTTTTGTGCGGCTCACCTTTGTGGAAGCTGGTGTGTGAGATGAGGGTTCGGCACAGGGGGCAGGGCGTGTTGGTCGGCCGGTTCTTGGCGAGCGTCCGGAGGCACGGCTCGCAGAAGACGTGGCTGCACGGCTGGCAGCTGTACGGACTGAAGTAGACGTCGAGGCAGACGGCGCAGGTGAGGCCTTCACGGTCCTCCTCCTCGCTGTCCGGCAGGGAACCGCCCACGATCTCGGCCTGGACACAAAACGGAAACGTGAATCATTAAGAATAATATTTCAAACGTACTTATGCGTTTTCACTCCATAAAGCAGCAAATACAGCTGTTGGTTGACTGGTAGCGTCCAGCGTGAACGCTCACCTGCTCCAGCTGACTGTGCAGCCATCGTTCTCTCCTCCTCTGTTTCCTCCGCAGACTCTTCAGATGGTTCTTCTCTCGCTTGCTCGCTCTGGTGGAGGCCGGAGGACCCGCGGAGGCTGGAGGCTGAGACGACAAAACACACACAAGTCAGCCAATTCTGCAGAAAAACAGTTATGACCAGATTCTTGCAGCTTAGTTGTTTCTTGAGGTGCAGAGGGTGTGAAGACCAAATCACTGACGAATAAACCACGAGCAAGACAACACAGAACAATGTGTTGCTGACAGTTTAGCTGAACGAGGACGACGCTGATGAGAGAAGATGGAAATATGAAGCTCCTCCAGAGAGTCATGACATCAGAGCATTAATGTGATCGCTGCATTTTATGGAAGTGTGCCAGTTAGAGGGAGAAATAAACAACCTGATGACAGTGCTAGTGGACAAAGGCTGCAAGGTTTATCTTCTGGGGATCCTGACCAAGAAGGGGTTGATTGAGGTCATGTCAGTATCACTTAAATCACATGATCTGAAATGTCTCTTTAAAACACTGCATGAAACCCTGAATATGCTTCTTTTTGTCTCCTATAAACATTAAAGTCACTGAAAATATGCCACTTTGTGTTAAGTGACATCTAATAAACTTCTGGTTCAAAAAGATTATATTGGAATGATCACGGGCTACAGCTCTGATTAATGCAGCTTTTTAATACTCTACTGTCCAGACCAGTAACGTACCACGACTTCCTCCTCTTCCTGCTGCTCGGCCACGCTGTCAGAGATGGATCTTCCTCTGAGGAACAGAGCCGAGTCTGACACCTCCTCCTGGACAGCTGTGGCCTCCTCCTCGGTGTGCTGATGTTGAGGTGACCGTGCCGGAGCAGATGGACGACGGGGGACGACGTTCAGCGGAGCTTCGCCGTCTGAGTCGAACTGCAGACTCGTGGGAAGCGACCGAGCCGACTCGTCCGTCCTTGACCTCACCAGGTCGGTCATGTCCGCACGGCCCGCCGGGCAAAAACATGAAGACCTGAAGCTGCCGCCACCGCCGTCTTCCTCCATGCTGCACCTTCTCCTGTGGGAGATGCAGTAGAGAGGGCTAAAGGAGAACGACTGGGTGCTGTCGGGGTCGGGGGGCGGGTTTGAAGCCTCGGCGGGGCTGATGTGGGACATGACGGCAGCGCAGTTGAGCTGGAGACTCTCCAGCGTCGTCCTGCCGAACTCGGGCCTCTCGTCTTTGTTCTGGAAGCCGTCTGGCAGCAGACCGGCCCGGAACCGCTCGGGCCTCGTCCTCCTCGGCTGGACGATGAGGACGTAGCGCTTGTGGTCGTGATCCACGCGGCTCTTGCTGAAGTGGACGGCGGCGTCGCGGCCGCACGGACACTCGCTGCGGTGGATGAAGTTGAAGCCGCCCAGACGAGCGCCGCAGTTCTGGCAGTTCAGCTTTCCCACAGTCCACTGGGCCTGGAGGCAAAACACAGACACAGGAACCACGACAAGATCATGAAAATGGATTAGTTTAGACAGACAGGGGTGCAACTAAGGGTGGAGTTATTTTCCTTATTGATTTATTTAACGTCAATTCATATTGAATTTCCCTTCTGGGATGAATAAAGTATTTTTCATTCATTTCATTTCAAGAGTACAAACACAAACACTGATGTTTCTAAAGACAAACTCAAGACCTCGTCAGGCTTTTGATTGATTTGTTGGACTTTAATTATTCATTTTTCTTTTTGGAACTAATTTTATTTATTGATTTCTCTCTTTAATCATTTCATCTATTCAATGTATCGTTTATTACTTAATCTTTAAGTATTTTCTTATTCTGTTGTTGTGAATTTTGACCCATATCAATCCATCTATATCTAATAAGAAATATCTTTTTTTATTATATTTATTTGTCCTATTTTATTTCCTCTTATCTTAAGTTTCTTCTGTGTTGCACGTGTTATATAGATATCCTCCTTCATTTATAACGTGATGTTGGAGGTTGTTTATATTGTTTTAGTGCATTTTATTCATCTGTTAAGCACCTTGTGTTACAATTCATTTGTATGAAAAGAGCTACAGAAAAAAAGTTTATCAACTCTTGCATTTGTAATACGATAAATAGATCATTTTAATGGACGAGGACAAGAAAATTAAACACACAAAAACGGTATACGTGCATTTTTCTGGCATAAACAGTAACTTATTTATACGTGACATAAAAGATCAGTTAACTAAAAAAGGTAAAACTTTATTTTCCTAAACTAAAATATTTAAATAATAATAATAATGTAAACAAATTAAGAGCATTATGTTTTAATACAATTATTTAATTTAACACAATTAAAAACAGGAATCTGTGTGATTAAAGTTCATCCAAGTGTGCAAGAGGAAAACAACATTCAGAAATCATTAACTTTTTGAAGCTTATACCCCCTTGACAGCAGCAAACACAACCAGCTAAAGCTGCACAAACTGTACTACTGACTGGACCTGCTCACCTGGTGAACTGAGGTCAGGATCCACTCTGGCAACGTGTCCACGTTCACGTGCCAAATACTGCAAACAGCAGCTGAGCTTTCATCGGAGTCCTGAACCTGCTTCACAGTAGAAAAACAAACAAAGCATCAGCCAAACAGCTCCCGTCGGTTTCTATGACGCTAATAAGCAGCTATCTTTTTACGACTGAAACACAAGCGCTTATCTCTGACTTCTAACTACACTGACGTCCCACAACAACTTTACAGACTATTAGTTATTACTCAGACCCAAGATAGCTTCTAAAAGTTTCTTGTTTTTTGTCTTAAAAGCAACTCAAAGCTCAAACACATTTCACAGACACGATAATATGACACTTAACAGCTTCTAAAAGAAAGAAATAAAGACAATTTCCACCAACCATTGACAAGCATGCTGAGTCTATGACCCCTTTACGACACCTCCTGCAGCGGAGCATGGCGCCCCCTCTCTGTCTTCACACCTTCCAGAGGAAAGTTTTCACTCCATCTGTTGATGGTGATGATGATGATAATCAAGATAAGGAACTGCAAACACACCTGCAGGAGTTTTGAATGTGGCAAAAAACATTTATTCATCAAAAAAACATGTCAGATCTGGTCAAAGAGGACAAAACAGCTCCTAATCTAATGTTCAAGATTGGAAGTTCAGCATTGTCAGATACATTAAATACATAATACCAGTACTGCTGTTTACTTTTTACAATTACCAATTGAATTACACATTCAAACATATTTCAGACTTTGACTGTGATGCAGCTACTTTCTATCCATAGCATTTCCCTTTCTGTTTACAGACCACATGATAACCTGCTATCAACGCTGAAGAATAAACAGCAGAAGGTTTTAATCAATTAAACATACATGAAACATGAACGAACAAAAGACATTTTAACTAAGTTTTGTGTTGCTGAGGTTTGTCTAAGTCTTAATTTTGACACCAGGATTGTCTTTTTAGTGCAAATGTGTATTAGTTCAAAACATTGGGTTTTGGTCTCTTACTAATAAGTAAAATCTGATATCAATTTGCCAAAACTCACTGGATGTTTTGTGGATTTAGGGGTGAAATAAAATCAATGTATAGACGCTTGCGTCGTCTTAAATGTATAGGAGGTAGAAGAAGCTACTGCGGTGGCCTACATGTCTACACTCGCGGTAACCTGATGCTGCAGCACTGCATGTATATTAATGGGACTATTTTTACCGGTTTGGACACGGATATGGTGGCGACTAGTCGGGGTTGAGGTTAGGACTCTGTGCAGGTCAGTCAAGTTGCTCTTTATCAAAGCAGAATTATGCACAGAGGGTGTTAAAGCTTTCGATCGAAGCGTTAAGGTTTATCGTCAGTGTCAGAAGACCCAGACTGAAAGTATGCGAGCAGATCTGTCCACATTGTTTTTGCTTCGTGCATCATGAAGAAAGTTTGTCATCGCCAGGCTTTCTTTACATAAGCTGTCGGAACAAAATCTAAGATCTCAGTCAGATACAATGAGTATCATGACGATGGTTATCAGTTTTCTGTGTTAACCAGGTTCTCTTAATCAGGCTCCCTGCACATTAGAGCTCCTGAACTCTACATTTCATGCATATAAACACGATATTAAAGAAATGCGTTTAGGTCTGACACAGTTCCATGATGAAGGATATCACCTTTGGTCAAATTAAAGTTAAATTAACGTTATTAGTGGAACACTCTCTGTGACAAATACAAGTAGATGAATGAATTTGCAAATCTGTGTTCAGGACCAAACATAAAAACATATTCATGCATTTTCTGCAACTGAATTCACTGTTTCCAACTTTGCAGTGCTCAACAAATATAATCCCTCAGCTGAGACTCTGTATCGCTCATAGAGAAAAGGGAGATGCTTCTTATAGCTGACTGAAGTCTAAAACTCTACACCTTTAACCTTTTCTAGTGTTTTCCTCAATCCTTAAATCTCAGCATTACTTTATCTGCTCTGTGGCTTACATACAAACCAAACCAGTCGTTTACACTTGTTGAAATGCCTTTAAAATACCAGTTAAACTCCTCTAATGCAGTTTTCTCCAGCCACTACACTGTGATCCAAACATTAATAATGCATCAAAATGACTTGATCTCTTTCATGAGGGTTGTGTTTAAAAGACAACAGCTGATGGGATGAATGCAAAAGATCCAACATCAAACCCCATCAGTAAACAATGTTAAATACAGACTAAATAAACTAGGATATATGACTAAACCATGCACAGACAACACCACATTATTGCCTGTGAACATTTTAAACACCATCCCTGATTCTGCCATAATATGCAAACTTTAGTTTTGCCACAATTATTCAGCTACTTTCACAAACACATACCTTTACTATGATCACAGACATGTTGTTTTTTTACACGATAAGACAGTTTGATCCTGATAAAAGCAGCTGTATGTGTACTCAAACTGGACAATAAAGCTAAAGTTAGCATGCTAGCCGTGCAGCATCAGTTACTATAGTGATTAAACAGGTTAAAACTCTGACTTTTAGCTCCACATAACTCGCTAACCCACTAATTCTGCTTGGTGTTACACTCTTTTGAGCTACTAGGCTACAAGGCGAAATGTTTATCTGCTTCTTCTGAAACCATTTTCTGCCTCTTTTACAGTTTTTGAACTTCAAAGGCGACGTTAAAGTTTAATTTCTCCACCGCTCGAAGCTAACAGAATGTAAACAACGTCTAGCTAACTTAGCTTAGCTCTGTTTACAACAACACGCTCCCTCCTAGCGGCTTTTTCTAACCAAACAATATCATCTTTAGGACGCTGAAAATCACCACAGTGACATTTTTATGAAACAAACCAACCTACCTGAGCACTTGCAGGACTTTTAGCGTCGTGCTGAAGAAGGACACGAGTCCAAGAACAAAGTTTAGCAGCCTTTTCGCTTTAAATAAGGCTGAGTGGAACTGGGACACTACGGAGCGTCCGACAGGACAAAAAGCGTTTCGCGCTAAAATATCTCAAATGTCGGTTCACCAAATTTGCAGACAAAAAAAAACATACTGTGTGATTGAACTTTCCAAAAGCAACTCCAGCACTATTTTAGAGAAACTAAAGTGCATTTAATCAACATAATAGGCAAAAAATATTTATTTTGTAGCTACACCTTTACTGTTTGGCCTGAATGTTGGCATCGATTAAAAAAAAACAAAACACAAACACATTAATTAAAGGCATACATGTCTGCATCAAATGTCATATTCTTGTGTCGCTGAGTACATGTTTTTTTTTTAATAAACCCTGATCATAACTACAAAATATTCACTTGTTTTCAGAATCTGAACTCCTTCAGTGCCGGTTTGTTTATGAAATGCTGCTGTTGCTTATTTATTTATTTATTTTTTTAATGAAAGGAATACAAGAAAATATATATTTTTAGCAGTTATTATCAAATTCTGAGATAGTTAATGATTAGCAACAACATTGACTCAACATTGATGTTTTTTTTAAAGACAACATTAAAAATAAAAGTCACACTCAGGACTTTAAGGACGAAAACATCTGCTTATAAACACTGCCATAAAAATGTTATATATTGTTTTAATTTCCCAATTTCGACGACCAATTTTTTTTAACCAACACCAGTCCTGATCATAATTATCTAATACTCACTCATTCTCAGAAATTTAACTCTTTCAATACCAGTTTGTTTACTAGATGCTGCTGTTGTTTGTAAGTATGAAAAGAACACAAGACATGAATTATTTTTCATGTGCTAAATGCTAAGATGTTTTTGTTTTGTTTAAAAAAAAAATCTGATCACATTCTGGGATATGGTCATGATTAACAACAACACTGTTTATGATGCATTCTATTTGTCATTCAGGTTCAGCTTTAAAGAAAAAAAAAAACACATTCAGGACCTAAAGACAAAAACAGCAGCTTCAGTACATTGCCATATAAATGTTATACATGAACAATATTTCCTACTTTTGATGACCAATTTTCTTAACAAGCATCAGTCGTCATCACAACAACCAAAATGTTACGCACTTTTATTTTGAGCTCTTTAAAGGCCAGTTTATCTACATGATGCTGCTGCTGATATTTTATTAAAGCAATACAAAAGAATAATGATGTTCCACTTACCTAAAGCTGATTTTTTTTATTTTTTTTTAAATATCACATTCTGGGATAAGTCAGTGATGAGCAACATAGATTCTGATACACTCTTTTTTCAGCTTTAAAGAAAAATAAAAACAGGCCTCGTCTCAGGACCTTAAAGACAAAAACATCCACTTCAGAAACATCACCATAAAAATGTTGCATATTAGCAACATTTTTGACTTTCAGTTACTAAATTTTCATCACCCTGAACCTGGGTGAAGTGGTCAGGGATCCAGATCATGCTACAAAAGTTGTTTTTCAGACGTGTAGTTTTATTGTGAAGCTATATTTCAACATATCTTGTGTGGAAAACCAAACTGAGCGTTGTTACACAGGTAAAAGAGAAGGAGAGGCTGGGTCATATCATCTCTTTCATGTTTTTTTTTTTTTTATCCTAATATACCACCAACCTGCTATTTTTATGTGCACATGTAACAATTTGACACACTTTTTTTTGTATATTTTGCAATGTTGAATTGAAATTGAAATTTTTGAAATTGAATTTCCCTTCTGGGATGAATAAAGTATTTTCATTTTCATTTCATTTCATTTTCATTTCATTCGTTGTTAGAACTCAAGGTAATAAAACCTGTATTATCCTGATTAACGCCAGGTGGCAGTGTCACACCTGGTGGGTTGAGTTGGCTGACTGTGTTGCTTAAAACAGAGAAATCTACTTAATAAATCTACTAAAGTACTAAAAGGCCTCCGTTAGAACAATTATTTTAGTTTATGGATTTTGTTTTTAATTTGTAGGAAAAATAGAAACCTGGAATAACAACTTCACATCTCACCCAAATGTCCAAATCCACCTGTTTTAGAAACTCCATTTGTGTAAATACACATTAATTAACTTGCACTGTGAGGAGCATGAGCAGACAGAGCATATAACAGCGTTTTACATGCTTATTTCCTCGCTGCCGGAGTTGCAGACTAAACACAACCGAACCAGCCAGACTCTATTACATCCTCACAGACAAATGACGCATTTTCCATCACTGGTATAAATACGCAGCATCATTCTCCGTCAGCAGCCGAGACTCGCAGTTCAGAGCCTCTGTGCAGCTCTCAGCACTCCGACAGTCCGCTATGCGCTCTGCGAGGTGTCGTCGTGTGGCGCGCACTGGGCTCTCCATGGAGTAACCGAAGCTCTCCAAACGCACCGACTTCACCAACGATGGAGGGCGCGAACAACACGACGGCCTGGCCTCAGTTTGACAACTCTTCCAACAAACCCCCCAAACCTGAGGATGAGGAGGTGAAGCTGAGTTATCAGGTGGTCACATCGTTCCTGCTCGGCGCGCTCATCCTGTGCGCAATATTTGGGAACGCGTGCGTGGTAGCAGCCATCGCGTTGGAGCGCTCTCTCCAGAATGTGGCCAACTACCTGATCGGCTCTCTGGCTGTCACCGACCTGATGGTGTCGGTGCTGGTGCTGCCCATGGCGGCGCTCTACCAGGTGCTGAACCGGTGGACTCTGGGGCAGGTGCCGTGCGACATCTTCATCTCTCTGGATGTGTTGTGCTGCACGTCGTCCATCCTGCACCTGTGCGCCATCGCCCTGGACAGATACTGGGCCATCACCGAGCCCATAGACTACATGAAGAAGAGGACGCCGAGGAGAGCAGCCGTCCTCATCAGCGTCACTTGGCTGGTCGGCTTCTCCATCTCGGTGCCGCCCATGCTGATCATGCGCTCGCAGCCCAGCAGCATGGCAGAGGACAGAGCGAACCCCAAGCAGTGTAAGATCAGGCAAGACCCCTGGTACACGATATACTCCACGTTCGGGGCTTTTTACATCCCTTTGACGCTGATGCTGGTTCTGTACGGGAGGATATTCAAAGCTGCCCGGTTTCGGATCAGGAGGACTGTGCGTAAAACGGAGAAAAAGAAAGTGTCCGACTCCTGTTTGGCGCTTTCTCCTGCGCTGTTCCACAAAAAGACTCACGGAGACGCGCAGGGCAAGAGCTGGAAGAGGAGCGTGGAGCCCCGGCCGCTGCCGAGCGTCAACGGCGCGGTGAAACACGCGGAAGACGGCGAGTCTCTGGAGATCATCGAGGTCCACAGCAACTCCAAAGGCAACCTGCCGCTGCCCAACACCCCGAGCTCCGTGCCGCTGTTCGAGAGCAGGCACGAGAAGGCGACGGAGGCGAAGAGGAAGATCGCCCTGGCACGGGAGCGCAAAACGGTGAAGACTCTGGGCATCATCATGGGCACCTTCATCCTCTGCTGGCTGCCCTTCTTCATCGTCGCCCTGGTCATGCCCTTCTGCCAGGAGTCGTGCTTCATGCCCCGCTGGCTGGAGGATGTCATCAACTGGCTGGGCTACTCCAACTCCCTGCTCAACCCCATCATCTACGCGTACTTCAACAAAGACTTCCAGAGCGCCTTCAAGAAAATACTCAAATGTCATTTCTGCAGACCGTGATGAGTCCAGTTCTTATTTATTTATTTTTTAATGTGGTGTCACTACAGACTCACCAGAGCCAAAGACACCCAGCTGAAAAGAGACGCAGCCCTGGAAACCAGCAGCCTATAAAGAGCTTGTTCTGAGGGCTCATTCTGATTATTGTGGATCATCACCATTGTTAAATATCTCCAGAGGTGTCTGTAGTCTATGCATAGATAAAGCTGTGATCGTTGGATTGAAGCTCCATGTTCCTCATCCTGTTCTGTCACGTTCAATAAAGAAATACTTTTTAATAATTTCTCTGAAGTCTTTATTTTGTCCACTTAATGTGCAGAACAGTTTCTAGAATAAACTGTCATATTTAGTGACTTCATTGGGCTCATTGGACTCAGATAATCAACTAATTCAAATTTAGATTGTTAATTAAACATTTTAAAAAGCTAAAATATCAACATTTCCAACATCTTAAATGTGGAATATGGCTGGTATTCTGATTTATTTGCTGCAAATTAAACATTTCAGGACTTTTGAGCTGTTTGTTGGACAAACAAGTAAATTAAAGGCGTCACTATTGATGTAGTTTTGATTGTTTTCAAACATTTTAAAGACCAAACCATCACTCAGTAGTTAAAAGTTGGAGGATCAGATGTGTTTAGATGCTTTATTGTTGGTATTTAGAAAGTTAGAAAGCTACAATCACATTTGCAGCAGTTAAATGACGTCATGTTTGTGAGGGGGTTTCTCTTTTCCTGCAGAGGCAACAGTCTCACAGCAGCTTCAGGTTATCTCTGAATGTGCACGCAAACTTCAGCATCAAATATCTACACTTTCCCCAGCAGACGTCACAAGTGGAGGAAGGAACTGTGCAGGTGTGGATGTGCTCATTTGTAATGTAGTTGAACTGAAGCTAAATAACTTTTTAAACAAGCACTTAAAGCCCAGAGAGTTTTTATTTTAAATGCTGGTGGACAAGTAAAAAAAATGATGCTCAGTACATTCAGATTATTCAAATTAGATGTAAAGGTGTGTTTGACTGGAATATTTCTGTTAAGTAAAGCTTCAGTGAAGAGCTGGAACAGATTTTATATATATGTGTGTGATCCTGACAGACAGTGTGGAAAAAGATGATTCTAAAAGCCTTATTTAGGAGGAACATGTCTATGTAAAGGAGTAGTCGTTGTGGATTTCAATTTGTCACTGCAGCTCTTGTCTGAAGACCTGCAACAGCGAATGTCTCGTCCTCCTCAAAGTGTCTTCAAGCAAGAGTTAAAATGTTTTTTTCCCCTCTCCTGAGCTTCATCCTCCCATGTGATGCATGTGAGCGTCCGAGGGGCTGATTGTGAAATAAAGAGAATCCTTATTGACGTCTGAAAAAATGCATTTCATGATTCCAGCGACAATGAAAAGATGTGGTGGGCGGGCAAACAGACGGAGGGACAGAATCACAGGAGAGGGGCAGAAAAAAAAAAAAAAAAACACATCCATGAGCGGCTGTATGAAAGGTTCCCGCTGAAGTGGACGGCGTGCCACTTGTGACGCCTCGCTGGCCTTTTCCTCCGTCACTCTCAGCCTCCTAACATATAAGTCCGTCTTAAAAGGGGCGTGAAGGCGGTGCACAGATGGATGCTGGAGAGGTGGTCGCCATAGCGACATATGGCGGATGCAAACTCCGGGGGCCGAGGGGCAATTACCTGATCAAAGGCCTGCTGAGACACAGGAATACAGAGGTGTGTGTGAGGGGCCCACAGCTGGCAGCTACCTCAGACAATAAGCAGGTGTATTTTTTTCATTTATTTATTTCCTGGCTGCTGCTGCTGTTGAAGATTTTCTCGTCTTCTCTCAACAGACAAATCTTTTTCTTTTTTGTTTTTAAGTTGGTTTGAACTCTAGTTTTCCTGCTTACTGTCTAATGGGATCACGTCTCTGATTCACTCTGAATCAGGGTGTTTCTGCTCTTCATTGAAGTCAGACGATGTGCAAACTGCAGGAGACAAACAAGCTCAGACTCTCTAACTCCCTAACATGTAGTAATAATGACACTTCTGACACTGATACAATAAACTGTATAATTTGTAGTGTAGGAAAGAAAGACAATGCCGATAAAACAACAAATTAAAAGAATAAAAAACAGTCTTAATACTATGGTAGTGTGATTGCTGTAAGTATATTTTTGATCCACCAGATTTTGCTAAATTTCCAGAAGACCTATAATAAATCTGTGAAAGAACTTAAGTGCATGATTTTATTTTTTTTATTAGTTTTTTTTTTTACACAATGTTTAGTGATTCCATCATAGAAAAATCTGAGTTAAAGGAGTTATTGGAAACTGAAGACTGCCATGATATACATGGTATTTACAAGTGTATGCAAACTTTTGCTCATGACTGTATCTTGTGATCTTATCATATTATCAACTAGAGGGCCCTCAGCAGAGGGATGAAGTTGCCCCTGTTGGCCATGATTACACTGAGCCCCAGTAAACCATTACTCATTCCAACTTGTCACATCCCCAGTAGAAGCCTATGTATGGTGTCCGATACAAACAATGTGTTTGTCTTGCACCATTTTCAAGTTACTGTGCTGTCAAAATTCATGGTTTTGATTTTGACCTTAAAATATCACCCAAGGTCAAACAAGGTAACATCTCCAACAGAAATCCCCAACATGGCTGCTTATCTGCACCAAATACCATAAATCTACCTTCTGCCCTTTTGAAGGTAAACAGCATTTTTGAAAAAAGTGACCTCTGACCTCTGGTGGAGCTGTTTTTGCACTGATTGACTCCAAAATGTGATCATTCTGAGGAGAGGCCGTTCATAGCTCACCTGTAAAACATCAACTTCTTAGACTTCAGCACTCGAGCTACAGACTGTTCACAGACGGACAAACAGATGGGACCGATCACTCTATAGCTACAGCAACTACAGTTAAACAAATTATACCTGTTGCTTCTCCAGACCAAGTCCTTACTTTACCTGCATTAGACTCCTCGAGTCATCGATTTTGGGGCTCATGATGGGAACATTTCATCCATCCATCCATCCATTTTCTATACACCGCTTAATCCTCACTAGGGTCATGGGGGGCTGGAGTCTATCCCAGCCGACTTAGGGCGAAGGCAGGAGACACCCTGGACAGGTCGTCAGTCCATCGCAGGGGAACATTTCAACCAATTGGAAATATTGATTCAGTTTCCTTCATATTCAGTCCGACATATTTGACATCTAAAGGAACTTGGGGATCTCCAGGAGAAGGTCGGCAGGATTGAACGATGCTTTTCTGCACAACGTGAGTTTGCAACAACTGACCCTCTGAGAGACCAGCAGGACTGAAGGTGCTGCTGGTTGATTACCAGCTTCATTAACTGCTGAAACGCTTCCTGTAGCAACAATTAGGACAAAATAAAGTCATGCCTTTGTGCTTTTTGTGGGAGTCCTGCAGCTTAAAACCATACACATAGTTTTACTTTACAGGCTGATTTCAGTATTTCTAGACTCAATATTTTTAACTCTTTTCAAGCCAATATATAAACAAGGATGGGCTTATATTCCTCGCAATGTGGAAAAGACAGAAAAGCTGAATGTTTTTGGTTTATAGGTTGGTTTATTTAACCTCAGTATTGTTAAAATCAGAGTTAGAGCCCAGAATATTGGTCAAAGGTCTAAACTGCAACACGCCACAATTAGAAATAATTGGAAACAATGGATTTTTTGTTTGATTGTTTTATGTCTTTATAGGGAAATATTTTAACATTAAGCTAAATTAAGCTCAAGATGAGTCATAGACATAAATAAAATACAGTATTGTGTAATCTCATAGTGTAAATGAAGGTTTTTAGCAGACAGTAAGCGTCTTAAATTTGCTATTGAGCTGCATAATGGGAATGTAGGAGTTTTGGAGCCGGACCAACACTTGCAGCTAAAAGACAGGATATTGCTGTTTAGCATTTCTTATAAATCTTTCTCTTGCATGTCAGCCAACGACATAAACGTGCAATAATAAATCAACATAGTGCTCCTTCGAGTGTTTTTCCTGGAAAGCAAACCGTTAGCTGATAAAAACATGTTGCTCTGCTGTGATAAATCCATAAAGATAACAGAGAAATCCAAAAGATTTCCAGTCTTGCGTGACATGTTTATTGTCAATCCAAACTTTTATTTTCCCCGGCAGCATGGCACCATAATATTGTGGGCTGTCACATCAAGACAAAACAGTTAAAATCTGTGTCAGTGCATTTCCTCCACGACACAATTGTTGTGCTGTTTATTTCAATGCCACGCCGCTGAAGTTTTATTCCCTCCAAACCACCGATTTGTCAGACGTGCCATTGTCTTTCTGACATGTCTGACAGAATGGCAAACAGCCTCTCGAGAGAATACACGACTCGCTGACTAAAGTGTCAAACTTTTCCTGAGGTCACTTGAAGAAGATGTGCAGGACGATACTTAAAACCACTGAAACACCGTTTGGATGCGTCGTGGCAGATGCTTGTGTATTCTCCAGGTTCCTCGGAGACTGCCGCCGAGTGCACTTGGCTGTAAACCAGCCTGCATATTGGAGGAGGTGGAGAGTGTGGATTAAATTTCATCCATACGCTCTTGAACTGTGCAGTCATGTTTCCCCTGCAGGGCCGCCGGTGGCGTTCTGCTGTCAGAGGAATTTAGTTACGGGTTCTCACAGTCTCGCAGGACCCAAAGACGGAATAAAGCCTCCTCGTCTTTTTGGGATTTCTTCTTGGAACTGTTGTTAACGAGCTTAGGCGGCAAAACGGGAGCCGCAGAAACATGCTTCATTATAAATAGTATTGTATATTTTATGAACATTATACTGGAAAGAAATGTTTGCTGTCGGGAAGTGAAACATGTTCTGTTGAGTTAAATGAACCGTATATAAAACTACTGGATTTCTAATGCCCCTGGTGTAACATCTTTGAAAATTTTCTGTTTGTCAAGATAATTAGACAATGATTCTGCCTCCAGGGCTTTTCCCCTCCTGTTTACTACTCTGACGTTCTCCCA